ACGGCTCTCATTGCTTCGCTTTATCATGTGAACTCAAATTAGTCCAGACACGTTAATTTAGACGCGTTACTATACCTACTATAGAATTTTTTTTATGTCATTGATTGGATACTTTATATAGAATTAGAACTCAAAAAAATACAAAGTAAAAATGCTCCTACTATCACGCGTATTATTAATTATTTCAAAGCGATCGAAGTAAAATACTCACACGTATTTTACTAACTATGAAAATCAGGAGAGTACTACAGTCGGGCTTCTTACAAACAATCTCATCATCAACTTAGATAAACGAAGTTGATGAGTTATTACATTGAGTATTCTACGTACAGGAAGATCGATGTTTCTGTTGTACAGTTTCCAAGATGTACGTACTACATGCAGATGTCGTAAGTCTCGTACCTTACGCAACAGTCGGCCAACAGGACAGTCCCTCCGGCTCGGCCCTGGCACCCTTGTTTCAGGGCGGCGAAGCCATCAGAGAAACACTGAACGCACTTCACAACAGTACCATTGTTCGCCGGGTCCTCGTCGCAGCTAAAAGAGGCGAACACCGGCAATGGACGGTGGCCGCCAGCTTCTTCATCATCCTCCCAGAAATCTCTCGAGTGGCAGCCCGTCTCCATGCCGTAGTGGAAGACGTCGTCCTTAAAATGATCGAACAACTTTTCCTGACCCTCATTTGCCGGCTCGGGGAACGAAGCCAGGCTGCACCTCCCCGTGCTGTCGCTTCCTGAACATAACGTAGAATCAAAGCCGCTTATAACCTGCAGGCCACAAAACATGCTGCAAATTGCTACTACTGCTAATATCCTCCTCGCCATATTCTTGACGTCCTCTTTGAATTCTGGGATCCTGTTGATTTGCCCTAGTTTGTATATATCAACGATCAGCAGAACGAAAGGAGAGAGTGGAAGAATCAGTCTTACCCAGGAAACTGGCATGCGGATGAATACAAAGAAGGCGGTTCAGCCAATGATGCATTTTTTTGTGTGGCAGATCGATGTGATGTAAACACTGAACTACTACGTGCAACGTATACACTTTGTCCGGTAGTCTGGCCGGGGTTCTTTGAGTTCCATATCCATAACCGTCCATATGCATGGGACAGTGAACAAAATGGGACTTAGTTACGTTGCTGGCCAGGCTCTTAGCTTTGAAGAGATCCAAGTAGCAATGAATGTTTCGTATGGTGATTAACCGTAACTCGGGTTACAGAGTTTTGCTTCTAACTCATTGGTAGTGTAGAAAATCTCTGGTTTATTTCTTTTATAAATTGGAGTGATATCCTAGCTAGCGCGAATAAACTTAAAGCGCAACCCTAGCTACTAGGGCTGGACATGCGGGCGGATCATCCGCGGGTTTGGGCCGACCCACCCGCATCTGACCCGAATTTCGTTAAGTGGGTGGGTCTGTGGGTGGGTAACGGGTTGCGCTGCGAGCCATCCGCTGGGTGGTGAGTGGTTTGTGGGTGAGTGTGCGGGTGACCCGCTCAACCCAACAGCAAAAAGATCAAAGTCGTTGGCGCTAGAGAGAGGAGAGTGGAGACGTAGATATAAACTCGGACTGCTCATGGAGTTTGAACCTCAAATCCAACCTTCCAAATAGAGATCCCCTCTTCTTCCCTTTACTTTTTTCTCTAATTCTTGTGCCTAGATCACCGCTCTTTCCTTTGTGGAATTATTTTCCTTAGTTCCTTGCACCTAATAATCATCTCAATCTGTAGAAAACTCTTTCATAATAGAATTTCTATCCAATTTAAGAACTAATTCGACATTTTTCGCCCTATTTCAACTTCTTTTTTCCCTCGATGATTCTCTTCACCTATTATCATGTCAAGTTGACTCCTTTATATTATATACATTGCGATGTGGGTGAACCCACAAACCCACCCGCATCATCCACCATCCGCCCGACCCAACCCGAGACTAACTGTGGATGGGTGGTGGGTTAAAAATTATCAATCCATTTAAGCGCGGATGAGTGCATTTTATGATCAAAATCCACCCGACCCACCCAACGCCCACCCCTACTAGCTACGTACAGCCGTTCTGACCAGCTCAAACTGGATTCTGTAACAGTGCTTGTTCATTAATAAAAGTCTCTCCAGGTTTGCATAAAAAAAAAGCTACGTACAGCCGAGACCAACTACTAACCCTATCCAACTCCTAGTCCTAGACTACTAACCGAACTCGGCCCATGTTATTACCTTGCTATTTGCTAACATAACCTACGTACGTACGTGCTTTGGCCCATGCAACTAATCTTACTTGCCACGTAGGGTTGCATGCCCGACCGTGTTGGCTGATTAGTGGAACGACGTTGGGCTGCTGTTGACTCGGGACATGGGCTTCATCGGCTGATGGGCTCAAGTTATTCGGCTGATGGGCTCAAAGTCCAATACGGTGGAGGTGTCAAATATTTAGTTTGGACTTGGAGAATAGGTCACGGATAAAAATAAGATAATTTAACCGGTACAGCCATTGAGCACGATATCTCAAACATCGAAGATAAGTACTCTACTACTCTTAATTACAGGGAAAATTTGATTAGATACACACATTTTTCAAAAGGGAATTAAGTTTGGAGGGGAAAGGATTAAAAACATTAATAACAGTAATGTCGGATTTATTTTTTTAAATCACATTTTCCAATAATGCCGTCCGTGATGATCACCATTTCCAGAAAACATTGGAACCACAATTGTACTTGTCTTTCCCTTTGCACTCCAAATCCAAGTCATCAGAAATGAATGGCACTTTCTGCAACCAACCAAAAACATACAGAAGTCAGAATTTCTTTATATTATGCGTTAATGAAAAAGTAATTAAGATTTTATTATGATGAATTTATAACCTTCTGCTTGGCAAGGTCTTGGCAGCCAGTGAAGTTCTCAGGGAACTTGCAGGACCCAAACTGCACTGTGAATGCCCTGGCAAAGTTCGCTCCACTTGTTGCCAGCCTCTTCTTGTCGTTTAGCTCCTGATTTTCACCAAAACGACATTACATTACATATGCATATGCTTTAGTTCTTTCGACATCGAGTTATTGGAAGTAACCAGAACCGAAATCAAAGAGTGCAATTAATTTCTTTAGAGTAATGGACTGCCTAATCAGTATGATTTACTGTATTACCTTGTTAGTTTTGCTCTTCTCGAGGTAATCCTCAATGACACCAGCGTTAGCAGAAGAAGCAGTGGCAAAGAGGGTAGCTGCGAGAATCCCCATTGCAGCTCTCCTTCCATTTCCAGCAGCAACTTGATTCTCTCCTGCTTGCTGTTGTTGGGCTCTGATCACTGGGAACTTAACTGTGGAGGAAGAAGATTGCTGCTGCTGCTGCAAGTTTCTGGTGGCATTGCCTAGATCAGAAGTGGCTGCGTAGTTGCAGGCAAGAACACTTGAAGAGGAGCTCATCATTGAAGCAGCCATGGATGGTATAATGGTGGCGGGGAAATTTGGGTGAGACCCCTTTTCTACTATTTCAGTAATGGGAGATTTTTGTGGAGTGTGGAAGCCAGGGGACTTGGTGATGATGATGTTGTGTAAGGGGATTGGATAAGGTTGGTGGGGGATTTTGGGCTCTTCTCCAATTGGTAATGTGATTCTCTGCTGTTATTATTGGGACTAGATTTGTGGCTGGCAATGGCTTGTTGCTGTTTTGGATTTTAATGGTGACCCACAAAGTTTTTCTGCTGACTGATCTGTAGTTTCTGTGTGTTAATGACAAGCTAGTTGATGAAACTCTTCTACATAATACTTTAACCACTTGATTAGAAAACTTTTGGGGTGGAATAGAGGGTTTAGATTTTGATTTCTCGATAGTCTTGTAGCGAGAGAGATGTAATGTTTTTACCCCGCGATTGTGATGACGGGGACTATATTTCATATATCGTCGAAGGATGACTCGAAAGATAAGACGTAAAAGATTGATAAATGGTTAATTTTGTAATAGGTAGGGGTTAGAGGATCAATTTGTAATTAGCCACCGTCTACTTCCCCTTCATATTATCATCTACCTTCCCCTTCTCTCTCTCCGTTTCTTTCTCTGTCGGAATCGATCCATTTCCGGGGGTCGGACCAATACCGAAGAATCCATGGAAGAACTCGAAAGCGCGTGCAGCAGCAGGAAGAATGAATGAATCCCAGAAGGAAGTGAATCTCAGCAAACCGCCCTCTGCTATGCTTATGGAAGTGAACCAGAGAGTGAGAGAGAGAGAAAGAGTACACCGTCCCGGACTGAGAACTCTATGCCGCCGGAGTTATCGCCGGCCGATGTATTTTCGCTTATCCGGGGGAATTTATTTCAACCTTCGTGTCAATATATCGCCGGAAACCAATATATCGAGAACATATCGTAAATTCTCGCGAAATATTAAAGTATCGTGATATCTCGGCAATTTCAATTTCTCGTCAATTTATCGCGTTTCGATTTTGGTTTTGAGTACCCGAAACGTTCCGCGTTTCGGCGTTTCTCCCTTGTATTTTCTCTTTCTTCCAGCCGTTTCTGCAGCTTCCGGCTTTAGGGACAGGATTGGCCGTGGTTGGGCCCCTCCGAACAGGCCCGGATCCGGCATCAGCGTAAAAAAGACTAATTTGGGCTTGCTTACCTTGGGTGACTGATCCAAAGTTACCTGGTGTGACCGGCCCTTTTGGCCCGTCCAAAATATTGGGCCATAGGCAACTGCTTCAGAGGAACGTCGAAACCCATTAAAACAAGTCAGAAACGCGGGACGGCAGTTAGAAACGCGAAACGTTTCGGGTCCTCAAAACCAAAATCGAAACGCGAGAAATTGACGAGAAATTGAAATTGCCGAGAAATCGCGATATGAGTAAATATCGCGATATTCGACGATATTTTACGATATTTTACGATATATTGACCGATAAAATAACTCCCGGCGATATGTTGACTGTCTTGTAACTTCAGTGCCCATAAACTTCGCCGGTGAGCGACTATCTCCGTTCTTTCCCTCCCCGCCGCCGATCCAACACAAACGGTGATGATTTCGAGCCTGATTAACCTCCCTATTCGCCTCGATTCATTATTTAACTTGTCCAAGGCTCGCGGTCTTTCCCTTTCCTTCCGATGCGGCAAGTCTACGGCCGCCGATTATGAAGCCGGAGAACCTTCTCCGCTGCCCGCAGCCGGTACGGAAGCGGACTCTGAGATGCCCGGTATAGAGAGCAATGGGAGCAATCACAGTGATGAGGAGCATCCCTATCACCACGTTTTTCAGATTCGTCTTCTTTCTTCTCCTTTCTCCCCGGCGATCTCTTTTTTCCTCTTCCCCGGGCTTACAAATTCCCAAATCAGATTCATCCCAAGTTGTAACAAAAGAAAGAAAGAAAGAAAGAAACTTCTACACAACTTTGCATGAACAATGATGATTTGGTCTTCTTCTCTTCTTTTTTTGATGTAAAGTTCATTGGCACTGATGAAGCAACTAGGTGTTGTCATCCGAAACCAGAGAAAGGGGAATGTAAGAACTAATGGTGCTTTTCTGATGTCGAGGAATTGCTATATCTCAAGTTTATTTATACATGTGTGGGTTTGATCATTGAGGGAAGTAGTAGATGGAAAGTTGGAAGCTTTGATTCGTCCTGTGTATCTCTTATCTGTCTTTCTCATTGGTTTATGGCAGACATGTTGATCAGAATTGTTCATGCTGTTGAAATGGTGCCCAATGACCATTTCCACCTTTGCTGCAGGTTGAAGCATCCACAGGGTCTGTTTTTTCCAGCCTGCTTTGATCGAACTAGCAGATGCCCAGATGAAAATGTGAGAAGAATTCGAGTGTCAGCATCATACGAGGATCTGACTTGGAAAGGCGCGAATCGTTGGGAACACATGATAATCGAACCGATCAGTTCGTGATCTCTCCGATGTTCTTGATATACCTGGCTTTCTGTCTTATAGATGCTCTTGGTAGAAGTTCCCATATTGACTGAAATCAATGACATTTTGGTTCATATGATAAATGCAGGACAGGAGCTTCTACAAATTGAACGTTGCCTTTCTACTGCAAGATCTGTCTGATGAAGAGATCCTTCTTCAGTGCTCCACCTCACCTTCTGCTGAAGGCCCAGATTTTGTGAACAACATGAAAAGGTGAATGCTTTCTGGAACCCTATTGTTCCATCTTTAGGTGTTAAGTAGTTATCTTCCGAGGGTTCGTTGAGGGGGAATCCAATCTGCTGTGCAACTAGTTATAAGAAACCATGGAATATTCCTGTGTAATGTACTTTGTGAAACTTGTTTCAAACTCCATAAACCGAGAAATGTGTTCATCGAGTACTATAATAGGAAGGACATTGATATGAACTAGCGAGTTAAGGTAGGCTAGATGGATATTAAGACTTTAGAATAGCATTGAATGTTTACAAGATGCCAACTATACACCCCTAAAGAAGATCAAAGCTCGGTATCAAAATCTTTTTACAGAGCAGTCGAGCTTTTGATTCTTCTCAAAAGTCTAAAGCAATCATATCAGCACCACTGGATCTATCGAATGTGATGTATTTGAATGTATTTGGGAGAGTGATGTTCATAACAGTATAGAGCAAATATAACTGCCAAAAGCATCAACAATGGCGAAAGCTCAATTATACTGCAAAATAATTGAAGGCAATGATTCCGTCTCAAGCACACGATTCCGTGTGTATGAAGGCAATGAATGAATCACATAATAGAATGCAAAATAAACGTAATTTGCACGAATATTATTTACTTACATATAGCGCATCCAAAGATCAAAAACATTCACAAGCAGTACTATATTTTTCCAGAACGAAATAATAATGAAAAAAAAAACTGAATTCATACCAAAACGAATTTTCCCTTTTGATAAATAGATCAATGGAAGGTGTTCCTTCTTTGCTTGTGCTCCACGCCAAAAGCAAATCAAGTTACTACTAGGCCTCCTCGTAATAGTTCGTCTCCAGATCCTGAGCTGGCTTCTTGGGCAGGATCCCGCCCCACTCCCCCCAGCTTCTGATGGCGTCTCCTGCGCGATGCTTCATCGCCGACAGCGAGCTCGATATGGGCTGCACGGAAGAGAATGAGGAGAAGGAGGACAGTCTCCTCCCCTGCTCGCAGCCGCCGCCGGGTTGGGACACCGGGAGGGCGGCGGATCTGCTCTTCTGGAACCCTTGGACGAAGGAGCTCATTTCTTTCAATGAAGGGAAGAGGGGAATGGAACTGAATGTGTGTTGGGAAAAGGGGTTGGTTGAGTTGGGTTTCCGGGTGAAGAAATAGAGTAATGGAGGGGGAATTGAAGGGAGAGAGGTGAAGGTGGGGTTTTGAATTTGATGGAGAAAGACAGGGGAAGCAACAAGAAAGAGGGAGAAGAAAGAGAAAAGCAGACAGCTTTTTCGGTGCGAATCAATCACAGGCTGGTGGGTGGGCGGTAGCTGTGCTGTGCTGGTCTGCTCTGGGGTCCAGGTGGTGTCGGTGGTGAGTGGGACGGGGAACTGTATGAAGCGGCTGGCATTTCTCTGTCTTCTCTGCTTCGTTGGCTTTTTTTATTACTTACCCTTCTATGGTTGATTGATTGAAGCACATGGGAACCGACGGCGGGAGTTTTTTTGTTTGGAAGGGGGAGGGGAATGGATCGGAGGACGCGCCGTCGACAGTGGTTTTTTTCTTTTTTTTTGACGCAGATCTGGTTGAGAAACCGGCGCAGATCTACACTCCTCTGATCCGGCGCCGGGAAAACAGAGACGTCGCAGTTTTTCAGGGTCGGTCGAGGAAAACAATTAGACCCGGCGTGAATGAGACGTATGGGGAGATTCCCGTTCGTTTTGGCGACTAGTAGAAAGGAATTGAATCTGTCTACGAATCCTCTGTTTCAGAACCCGCCGGCGGGAAGGAGTTTTACATGATATAAATGAGGCCTCTTTCTGAAAGTGGAGAGCTCTGCTCTGCGATGTAATCGAAACAGAATACAAGAAAAGTAAATCCCTGCAATGCATTATATGCCAGATTCGAAACATCGTTCGGCGTCGGATCGTTATCACTCTCTGGGCGGCAACAGATTGGTCTCTAGCATTGCCCGGCATGCCGCCGGCCGTTCTCTGATTTCCGGTCGGCGCTTGCATCACCGCAGCAGCTCTCATTCTCTGGTTCAGTTCTATTAATATGGAAGCCCATTGTTCCTCACAAATTCTCATCAAAGCCTTAGACCGTGGAAGGATGATTATCATCCTGCTTATTCAAAGATTCATATTTTCATTGTTTTTCAGAGCAATCTCGAGAGCTCCTTTCGAGTAGCTAAAGTCATGAGAAATTGTCGAATACTGAGAATTGTAAAGTTTCCAGCTTTCTACAAGTCTGTGGACATACATATACAGCATAGCTTACCATATAGTGAAACAGTAGGACATGTACAAATAAACGAGGCCCGTTTTTACTTGCACATCAAGGGTAACTATTCACATCAACTTCAATACTGACTATCATGGTCATACAGCTAAATCTGCAGGGATCTCCCCAAGGATACACGCTTATCAGGTGACGCAGCTCGTTCGTTCATAGAGCTGTCTCCTAGTGAGCTTCAGCTAAATCTGCACACAAGAGGGATTGTACAGGGGAGGTATGCGTCGAGAAGAGAAAGCAGGCAGTGGTATGGAGGAGAAGGCAAAAGATGGCTCTTCGGAACATTCATCTGATGTAAGTCTATGACTGTCGAACCTACCAATGAAGAGTGCCATCTCTCAAGCTTCTGACTCAGGCCTGTCGGGTACTTTGAGTGCTTCCTCTATAGCTTGAACAAAAGTCGCGATCTTATACGTGAAGAATCCTACCAGCATCGGTATCAGTTGTAAGTGCATATATCCGTATTGTGGGACGACAATACTGCATCAAGTCAAAGCAAAATCATTAATCAGGCATGTTCTAAACCGAAATTGCAAACGTCGTTGAGGTCCTTGTTATCTAATGCCAAAGATAATGTCTTTATCGTGAAGTTATAATTCAATGTGTGCGGTTGTTTGAAGAAAATCACACTCAAGGAGTTCTGAAGATGCATTCCCAAGTTCCACATAGGCACAGGAAAATAATATGTACTCACAAATTCCAGCGGTTGTAGATCATGACCAAAGCAGCTGGAACAAGCAACCTAGGCTGCGCTGCTGCTCCCCTGCAAAGCAAGCACCTCGGTTATATCGAAACAACTAACAATTCTCTGATGTCTTCCTTTAGAACTTAAGTTTGAGCCAAAAATAGGAAACGTTTTCAGGAAATAAGACCTACTATCACATCATTCAGCTGGGTCTAATAAAATGGGAAGTAAGATCTCCATACAACAGGCAGTAAAAAAAAGTTGCTCTGAAGTCCATGGAAGCAATTCAAATTAGAAACAAATACTTTTCTGAGACTTTGAAACTAAAATACCTGCAGCATTAACATTCCACAGTGAGCAAGTGGGTTTTTCACTTATCATGTACGTTTCTTAAACAATGGTTTATGAATGTGAATTGTGAAAACATGGTATCAACATCACCATCAGCTTCTTCATAGGGAAGTGCATTGAAGTTGTCCATAACATGAATTAGTAGGTATTGCCGTAGATGGGGGGAAAAGGTAGTTCTACAAGCAAACTTCGAAAAGGAAAGAGACTAGAAGGCAAATCCAACAATAAATAGGAGTTTTTACATACTTTACGAATCCCTTCGCCCCATCTGCCATGGAGTCCACACTGTTCCCCAGCATGCGCATGTAAATAAATGATCCCATCAATCCGACACCGAAGCTGCATGAAAAGGTAAAGCATCTATTGATCACACTGACTAGAAAACTGTAACAAATATCTCAGCAACTATTTTATGTGCAGGAAGTCATCCCATCATCTCATGATTCTTAAACACTAAACACTTTTAGGCAAAGCTCAAGACTCTGCTGTGCAGGATGTCATACCAAAATTGCTGCACCGAGAAGAAGGGAAAGCACAAGCAGAAACCAAACTCAGCATTTCACTTAACGTGGGACAAAAGGAATAGCTTTTTGATTGTCTTAAAAACATTCATTTAAACACTAGACAGCTGATTCAACATGGTAATGATGCAAACCTCACCTAGCTGCGATTTCCGTGGAATAAGAGACATAAGCAGAAACCAACCCAACACCACCTATACCCAAAGTAAGAAGTTGCAACTTCTCCTTCAGCTGTCCACAAAAAAAGGCAGACAAGCTCCGTCACAAGAACTCAGAACCATAACTGATCATATTATGATGTGAAAATGGCATAACGAAGATGTAGAAGAAGTTTCACCAAACGACTCTACAATCAAGTACCTTGAAGTACTGCGCCCTGTATTCTGCAGCCAACACTTCTGGATCCCCTCGAGGCTTCCTGACCTCACGAAGCATGACTTCCTAAAGTCGTGGGTGGCAATACAATCAGCGACGAAACATGAAAATCTCACACACTACTCTGGAACAAATGAATATGACCAATGGAGAAGAAACTCACGGTGCCCTCAGTTGTAGCCTTAGCTGCTCTATCCCACTTTTCCTGTTCACGGCGTGTTGGTGCCAATCTCCATTTTGGCGACGTGCCTTTTGTAGCCTGATATCAAAATGCTAATTGAGAATTGAGTTCTGATGAACTTGCACCAAGTGTACTACTATCAACAAAGCAAGAACATCCATCTTACTTTCTTTACAGTCTCAGTTGGCCGTTCTACAATGGGCTTGGAAGGTGTTGCCAGCTCTTTGCTCAGATCAACTTCCATGCTGCCTTGCCAAAAGGTGAATAGATCAATGTAACTATAAAAGTTTCCCAAATGAAGCAAATCGATCAAAACATGGCGAGTAATGGTGGAATCCACACCTGTTCAAATTCATCACTCTATTGAAGCTTAGAAACCCAGATGATTGTTCCTGTTCATTACACCACCAAATACATACTAGCATCATTAGAATTCAGACTCAACAAAGTAGCCAAAAAAATTGAAATCCTAGCCAAAGAACCAGATTTTATTAGATTGGGTAGCTGGCCGTGCGGCAATGGTACCCATTCAATTAAATATCTAGAACAATAACGAGTTCAAAGACAAACAAACTACACCGCGATAACCAATTAGAACGAACAACTTAGCAAACATTGAACCTCAACTGGAGCCTTGGACCGAAGAGAAGCATCATCATCGCCAGTGTCCTGAATCAATCGCTTCATCCGGCCCATGAAGTCCTTGTTCCAAATGAACTCGTCGGAGGTTAAAGGGTCTTCGCCTTCCCCTCCCCAGTACTTGCGAAGCTTCGTCGTGGTGGGTGGACCGCCGTAATCCCCCGGAGCTACCCCCGTCGACCATTTCTCCGGCTTCTTTTTGGGGAGGATGACCTTGGTCGGAAGTCTTTGGCTGGGGATTGCTGGCTGTGCTGGGTTTGTGGAGTCTTGGGGCACTGGTGTGGCAGACGCGGTGACCGAAATGCAATTCAGGACCGCCATTGGAGTGCCCGTTGCTACCGGCGGGGTGAGAGATGTAGAGGGGATAAGGGGAAGCCTCTGTTTCCGGTCGAGAATGCAAAGGGGAAAAAAGGAAGCGTTTTGTACATTTTCATTTTACGTCCTCCTTTTTATTTTGTGTGTTCACTGTTCAGAAGGGAAAAATCCCAAATCATATAAATTTGGAATTTTCCTTTTTGTAAACAGATTAATGGAAGGTGGATGAAACCCTAATAATCAAAATTGGATGAGGTTTACTTCTTAGCTCACATAGCATATCAGTGCTCTAAAACCCCTCGAAGCTCAACCGGCCAAGCGAAAACCAGAGAATCCATGGAGTTTCCCCTCCGCAATTGAGCAATTCCCTCCATACCAGAGAAGCAGAATCATCGTTCGTTTTCCTTCGCATTCCCTAGCTCGAACACAGTGGAACAAAAACTATGAAATGCCTCGTCCCTCTCATTTCCCTTCACTTCCCGCCAAACGCCGTAGTCTCTCACTCTTCTTCCTCTTCCCCGCCTCAATTGTCCATCGTTAAGCCGTCGCTCAGGTATCAATTGAGCTCCAAAAATGGCCGCCGAGCTCGTGTGTTCAGAAACAAAACCGGAATTAGTGCAGCTGCCGAGTCTACATCGGTTTCTACGTCGGCCAACTCAGTGGAAGAAGAGGAGGAAGCGGTTCAGGTGTTCGAGAGGTTGAGGGAGGCGGAGAGGGAGAGGATAAATGAGCTGGAGGAATTGGAGAGGAAATCGAATTTGCAGCTGGAAAGGCAGCTAGTCATGGCTTCCGAATGGAGCAGGACGTTGCTGACGATGCGAGGGAAGTTGAGAGGGACGGAATGGGATCCGGAGAACTCTCACAAGATCGAGTTCAGCGAGTTCTTGAGGCTTCTCAATTCGAACAATGTTCAGTTCATGGAGTACTCCAATTATGGCCAGACTGTTTCAGGTTCGTAAGGTATTCAACTTCAGATTGTGTTTTGGTTTTGGTTATCGATTTCCCCGAGTAAATTACGAAATTGGGTTTGCACGAAACTAGTTGAAACGTCAGTAGTTCTGGTTCTCATGGTTCGTTTGGGAGAATAATGGAGATGGATATTTTGAGGCTTAATGGTTGAAATGTTTGTTGGTAACCTCGGAGATAAAGTTGTATCGACTTAGTCTTCCTATTTGGTTCGATATTGTTTCACATGCATTTAGGGATGTCAATCCAACCCGTAACCATGGGTACCCTACCCGATCGTGACCGGTCAACGAGGATAATTACCCGCTTTGACGGGTTAAGGGGCGGGTACGGGTAATACCCGGTTTCAAAATAAAGGGTAGGGTACGGGTATGGTAATCGATAATACCCGCCCCGTTATACCCGCCCCGCTTACTAAAGGGTCAATTTCCCTTGAGAAATTTAGTTTAGCTTGAGAAATTTAGTTTAGCTACCATTATTGATGATGATGTAGACGATTATTATGTTTGTGTGGATTGTAAAAGCAAGAACAATTATTATGTTTTTGTTGTTTTTATTTGTGTGGATTGTTGAAACTAGAACAATTAGAAGTATTGAGAATTTTTAATGGACAACAGTACGTATGTGCATATATGTGTATAAGTTCATAGTTTAGAATTCGTACCCATGGTTACCCGAATACCCGTGGTTACCCGGTGGGTAGGGTATGGTTATATAATTTTCATACCCGGTGGTTATTTGGTCGGGTATTTTAGAAAGCTCTACCCGGCGGGTTAGGAGTTGGTATAGGGTAAACCCGCACCCGACCCTACCCATTGCCATCCCTACATGCATTGACTAAAGCTACCACTAACTACTTCAATACGAATTTGAATTCATGGAACTCACACTAGCTTCTAGGCTTTTGTTAATAGCTTATGGAGGATTCTTCTGGTTTTCTTCTTAATGCTGATCACAGTTGTTTACTGTGATGGCAACTTTCATAAATTCTGTTTTTGAGTTCTTAAGCACTAATGAAAATACGGGTCTATGAACCCTTTACATGACTACATTGTTAAAGAGGCAGGGTAGTGTAGCTTATTGGGTCGTACATGTACTTCTTCTTGCATTTATATAGCAAACTTCCTCACCTCCTTTCCGAAGCAAACAGAGACTTTATCATTTTCTTGTTCTGACATTAGTATAACTATTTAATATGTAATCCTGTTATTGTTTGTTCATTAACTGAATATTTTGCTTCATATTCTCTGGAAATGATTGCATTGGTGTTGTGTGACTGAATATTCATGGAAACTTGTCTGATGTATCTGCAGTTATTCTTCCATATTATAAAGATGATAAAAATGAAGCGGGAAAACGGGACCCAAAGAAGATCGTATATAGGCGTCATGTGGTAGATCGCATGCCAATTGACTGTTGGAATGATGTTTGGCAGAAATTGCACCAGCAGATTGTAAATATTGATGTACTTAACGTGAACACAGTTCACGCAGAGGTCTACTCTAGTGTTGCAACTGCTGTCATCTGGTCCATGCGGCTTGCTCTTTCAATTGCAGTATATGTTTGGGTTGATAATTGGGCTAGACCAATTTATGCAAAGTTAATACCTTGTGACTTGGGAAAGCCACCCACAACGACGAGGCAGCCACTCAAACGCCGGGCGCTTGGTTCACTAGGCAAGAGTAGGTAAGGAGATGTGTGGCTTCTTCCACTGCTGTTTAGTATAATTGTTGTAAGCCTTATTGTGTACTTCTGTTTCCTTTGCTTTATTTTCCCTGTAATGTATAATGGTTATTGATCTCTTGATGCTAAATCAAATGAAGAGAACGGTGCCATAGGTGTTCTCAACTCTGTTTGCAATTGAAAATTTGATTCTTCTAGTTCAAACATAAGAACTCAGCATTTTTCAGCTCAAACACCTGATTGTAGTTCTCAGCTTATCTGATATCTTCGCTATGCAGTTGTTTTAGAAGTTGAAAAGATTTCTCATAGAAAGTTAGTTTAGATAGTTTTGGGTTTATTTATTTGGGAGTTGAGTGCCTCCTCACCGTCATTAATTTTTGCACCAGGGCAAAGTTTATATCAGCTGAAGAAACTACAGGCATTACTTTCGATGATTTTGCTGGGCAGGAATACATTAAGAGAGAACTGCAAGAGATAGTACGGATTCTGAAAAATGATGAAGAATTTCAAGATAAGGGTATATATTGTCCAAAAGGTGTCCTTCTCCACGGTCCTCCTGGTACTGGTAAAACACTGCTTGCAAAAGCTATTGCTGGTGAAGCAGGCCTACCTTTCTTTGCTGCCAATGGTACCGATTTTGTGGAGGTGAGGCTGGAAGTCTGGATAAACTTAGGTTAATTATAATAAATTTAGGTTTACTTCACACTCAATCTGAAAATGCTGAAGATTTATGGTGTTGGCTCAATAATTGATTCTGGCATTATGCTGCCGCAATTGCTTTGGGATGTAGGTGCTGAATTCAAGGCTGAATCATTTGGTTGCATGATATGGTTTTTTCTGTTTTGGCAATTCTAACTACCTGCTTTAAGTTGAGTAGCAAATTTACACGGTTGACCTTTTAGATGTTTGTAGGTGTGGCAGCATCCCGTGTCAAGGATCTCTTTGCCAGTGCCCGATCATTCGCTCCTTCCATAATCTTTATTGATGAGATTGATGCTATTGGCAGCAAGCGTGGTGGCCCTGATATTGGAGGGGTAAGATAACTGAGTTGGTCTTAAGGTGACATTGGCTCTCTTTTTTGCTTTTAGATGAGAGTTTGTGGCGATAATATATAATATAAGATCCTTCCTAAGTCAATTGTTTTGTATAGGGTGGTGCAGAGAGGGAACAAGGCCTGCTTCAGATACTGACAGAAATGGATGGATTTAAGGAATTTACATCACAGGTGAGCAATTATGCATAGGCTTTTATTGGCAAGTGAAAATCTGCACCCACCATCAAGTACTGAATTTAGTTTTTCAGGTGTTAGTTATTGGTGCAACAAATAGGCTTGACATACTTGATCCTGCTCTACTGAGAAAAGGTCGCTTTGATAAGATCATAAGAGTTGGTTTGCCATCAAAAGATGGTAGATTAGCTATACTTAAGGTAATCTTATCTCATATGATTAGCCTATGATGTGTTATTGCTGGTCAAATATATATTACATTTAACTTTACTTAACAATTCATTTTGCAAACAAAACAAAAAACAATTCATTTTGCAGGTGCATGCAAGAAACAAATTCTTCAAATCAGAGGCAGAAAAGGACACTCTCCTACAGGAGATTGCAGAACTCGCGGAAGCTTTTACAGGGGCAGAGCTTCAGAATATACTGTAATGAATGCCTGATAGCTAATACTTAGTTTTTATTTTCTTACATGTTATCAAGTGAAAGACATCCTCATGATTCCTTTGCTGAATGTCAGGAATGAAGCTGGGATTTTGACTGCTAGGAAAGATAAAGACTATATCGGACGCGAAGAACTAATTGAGGCTCTGAAAAGGGTTTGTTCATTATCCTTTTATAATAAAATATCATTCGAGGATCATTTGGCAATTGTTATTCATGCAAAGTATCGTTTATGCTTTGCTTCATGCATTTTGCAGCAAATGGGTACATTTGAAACTGGCCAAGAAGACAGTACTGAAGTTCCTGAAGAATTAAGATTAAGATTAGCTTACCGTGAAGCAGCTGTTGCAGTACTTGCATGCTTCTTCCCTAATCCCTATCGTCCTTTCACAGAGGTCAATGCTTCACTCGATATTCCTTGGTCCCATTTTTTTTTCTTTTTTTTCCTCCTTGTCTTGAAAGTGCCTTATGTTGCTGTGTTTCTTTATTTAATTGTATGTTCTGCAGACACATATAAATTCTATCCGTGACCGGCCAAATATGCAATATGAAGAAACTGCTGGCAGGGTGTTTGCCAAAAAAGCTGATTATATCAATGATATAGTGCGTGCATGTGCACGTAAGTTCTTCATATACTTGCTTGCCTTTATTCTGTTTCTATACTTTTTCCCTTGCCCAATCCTGGGTTCATACCGAATTTAAGAGCATTGAACTGCTACCATTTGTAGCTAGGGTAATCGAGGAGGAAATGTTTGGTGTAAACAACCTTTGTTGGATCTCTGCAAAGGCTTCATTAGATGCTTCAAGGCGTGCTGAACATTTGATTCTCCAGACTGGAATGACAGCGTTTGGGAAAGCGTACTACAGAAATCATAGTGATCTTGTGCCCAACGTATTGTCTCTGTTTCTTTTCTTTTCAATGCTGGATTCTTGTTAAGAGTGCTGTGAGGAATGATGACGTAGAATTATTTAGTAATTTCAACTATTGGAAATAGCTTGCAGCCAAACTTGAAGCACTTCGTGACGAGTACATGCGTTATGCTTACGATATGTGTTATTCTGTGCTGAGAGAATACCATTCAGCTGTGGAGACCATTACAGGTAATTTTGTATATTCTCTATTCGCTTTCCATCAAATTGTTGTGGCCTGATAGTGATTAATGATGATTTTTTAGATCTAGAATATGTTATGAGAGTGATGATTGAAATTGAAGAAATGGGCATTCTCCATCCATATTTTTCATTATACAGGAACAATAAAGGGTGGGATAAAAAAAGTTTGCAACGAAAACATATTCTTGGTCATTGTTTTCTACCTGAGTACTTTGCCAGTTGAGATATATATTCTAGGAGTTCATGTTGGTATATCGAATCATAGAATATTGGGCCTCATCCTATTGTCTTCTGCAGATATTTTACTTGAGAAAGGAGAGATGAAAGCTGCTGAAATCTGGAACGTGTACAAAAGTGCTCCAAGAATCCCTCAGGTAAGTTTGACCATGGCATTGAGCATTTTATCTTAAAGCTGATTTTAGAATCCAAAGAATCAGTCCACAACCTTCATATCCTCTTTAAAATTATTGCATTGTCATGACCATGACGTTCATGTAGGGAAACCTAGTGTCTAGTGAAAGTAAAATTAAACTACTAATAGAGTAGAATGTAGAAATTCAGTGCCTGCCAAATTATGCCAGCAATGCTTAGACTTTCAGAGGTTTGACTGTTCCGAATTTCCCAGTCCTATGGAGCAAGGGGAAAGAAGAGGTTGTTGCCTATTAGATTCACTGTTTTCTTCTTTTTGTCTTCTGCTCAGTCTTTACTTGGTTAGCTTTTGATTTTTATTCCAGAATTTTACAACTTTGCTCTCTCGCCTCCAACATAAAGGGAAAAAACTGCATTTTCAACCTCTTAAATTTCGATACCTGGAATATCCTTGGTGCCTGTTGTCTTGGCTATATGAATTGATGCTACCTGGGCCATGGGAACCACTCTGGAAATGATCCTTTCTTTTCTGGAGACAGCATTGTATGGTGCACTGGTTGTGAAATTTTCTATGTTTTCTCCAACTTCCAGCCTAAGGTGAATCCCATTGATGAACACGGAGCCCTCATTTACGCTGGCCGATGGGGGCTTCACGGCATCAGTCTTCCTGGTAGGGTCACATTTGCCCCAGGCAATGTCGGGTTTGCAACATTTGGCGCTCCCCGGCCCACTGAGGTAAAAGAAGAGATCTTACCCTTTGCGTGAACTCGTAAAAAAATATCAACCTCTTTTTACCCCCTTTCCAATATTGCTGAATTTTTTTGCCTCTTGTTTATCGAATTTCCTGAATGTGCAGACCCAAGTCATCAGTGATGAAACATGGAAGCTAATGGATCATATTTGGGATGAAAGAGTTGAGGAAATAAAATCCGAAGCTTCGGAGGAGGTTGAAGAAGAGAAAGAGAAACCACAACTTTTGATGGCCAGTCATTTCCTCTGATGGGCAGATGATTGCCTGGTCTGCATGGTTCGTATTTTAGCTTTTGTCTTTTGCAATTATTTGACAATTCTAGGATAAACATGCTAGGATCTAGAACAGTCAAATGGTTCGCACATTTCTATCTAGGATAAGATTCTGTTTTCACCAGGTCATCGAGTCCTAGACTCTGTCAACAGTTGAATACCAGTTTGGTTATCAAACTCGCCTATTAGTATCATACTGAGCACTGAGCTCGGTACTGCGATAGCTAAAGCACCAAACTTGATCTAATAAGTCACCACTAGCATTTTTGGTTCCTCCATCAGATGCTTATGCTGCTGATATTGCTCAAGTTGGCATACGATGGACGCCACATGAGCAATGGAACAGCAAGAGTGACATAAATGACGAAGGAAACAATTAGGATAGTCTGGTGCTTTAATTCTCTAATTACTGAGTTAGTGTATGGCTGTTGTGCATCTAGGCGAGTTCGGTGATCAAACAGTAATCTTCTAGAAAATAGTTTTGAGAAGAACAGAAGCAAGGGCTTTCCATCCCCTGACTGTTGGCAAGTGCTTCTGTCCTCTAGCTAAGCGTTTATTGTATGTTATTATAACTTACAGCTTGTCTCTACTGTCACAGCTACAGGATGGGAGACCTTGTGTTGTAAACTAGCTGGTCGGACGTGTCAGTCCACGAGTCTTGTATGTACATTGCATTCCGGGCTAAAGGAATCCCTGCTAATCCATGAATGTGGCGACGGAGGGAGCTGGCCGAAAGCCTGTTTGGGAGATGGCCCTCAGGTGGTGCCTCTCATCTATAGTTTCTTCCTCAAAAGGCTTCATCGGTTATGGGGTTGCCAGTATTATCAGTTTAGGAGTTAGGTCTACATACTTAGTTGTGAGAATTGTGAAAATTTCTGTTGTGTGAGAGAATAATGCGAGTAACCGACTCGAAGTTTGCGGTTTTGCTTGCAACACAAGAATATGATTTCAAATGCTTTTGACGTCAAAATCTTGGTTTAAGGATCGGATCATTGAGATTATTTGTCGAACTAATCAAAATTGAAGCAGACGTTAATGGTTTTTTTGCATGATTTTCATCCTCTCTGTTTCTTTCGACCCGATCTTTGACCAGAATGCCCACCATCCTTTACTTGCAGTGGCAAGTACAGGAATTTACTAGTCATTGAGGTCGTAAGAAATTTCAGTTCATTTCGCTAGTGGAGGTTCATCGATGTAAGCTTGTGAACATTCCGCCGTTGTTTTCTTTTTCACATTTTGCTAATCAAAATCGTTCCTTCAATGGTGCAAAAAAAAAATTTAACTGTCTAGAACAAATGAACGTTTTCGTTTCTCCAATTTGGTTCGGAATAGGTCGCAAGTCGTAAGTACTAAATATGGATTTAACTAAAGTCCAACAATTAATTTTGGCTTTGTCATTATTATTACTCATTACTCTACTAAACAAACCAAATACAGGCAGCCGACTACAAAGTAGATATGCCCATGTAATTAATTCCATGATTACTTTTCGGGGGATCATCTCTCTCTAAACGATGACGATCGCTCTGGCGGCTCCACCTGTCCACTTCCCTTTCGCCACCTGCGCTGCTTCCTTACAGTCTCACCTCCTCTCACTGACCACCGCGCAGAACGCACAGAAACCATGGGCGAATCGGAAGCAACCTCGTCGTCTATCAACGGCACCGACTCCGCCGACAAGGCCAGTTCCCGCACCGTCCACATCGACGGCGGCGGGAGCGAAGGCTTGACTCTCTATGCCGTCCTCCAGCGCATGGTGTCGTCGATCTTCGCTCCGGCCGACGGTGGCGATCCCGCTCCGCTGCTGCAGCGGATCAAGGCGTCGCTGTCGGAGAACGGACCGCTGCTGAAGGACGCGACTACTAACACCGGAAGGAAGATTCTGGTCTGGACTCGGAACGGCAGCCATCTCCGCGCTCTGCTCGTCATCTCCGTGAGTCTCCCTCTCTCGCTCTACTTGTCTCGATCGCTCGCTCGCTCGCTCTGTGCCTTTTAGTTTGTTTTCTCTGATTGCAAGAAATTGCTTGCCGAATTCCTTTCTAGGTGTTACTGTGGAGAGTTTGTGATTCGATTTGTTTATCCGTCGCCGATTCTGTGTTGATTTCAATTCATTGAAGCTTGTGCTATTATTAACCTTCAACGGAGCGGAGATACTCTTTTCAGATTACACTTGCTGAATGAGGTTGAAGTGTTCATAGTTTCTTCTTAGATTGCACTCAGTGTGGATTGCCTTGCTTCATTTGTCTTCTTCCGGTCAATTTGTGCCCTAAATATGTACCAAGAATTGTTTTATTATGTACTGTTATTCATGTTCTGAAACTGCAACAGGTCGGGACAATTGCTCTTCTTGCAATGACGGGAATACTGGTCTTCATGCTGTTCTTCCTGGCAGCCACCATCAACGCCATTGTCATCTCTCTTCTCATGTCGTTGGCTGCTGCAGGAGGCTTCTTGGCTCTCTTCTTCACCTGTCTAGCTGCTATATACATTGGGGCGTTATCGATAGCGATATTCGCCATTTCGACTGCAACGATCTCAGCAATCATTGCTGTCGCGGTGGCTACAGGTGAGTGCACTATTATGAAACTTCTTCATTTTATTATCTATCTACATAAAGCATCCTCAGATCTTTTGCTTGGCTTGAGACTTGGGCTCTTCTTAATTACTCTGCAGCACTAAACCAACCAATGTTCTTCCAAATGCATAGTTAAATTTCCAAACTTTCTTGCTTGTGCTGCTACAATCATGTGATAGTAATGTCAAGAGGAACATCAGAACTTTGGTCTGCAAGACCTGTCCCTTAGTTGGATGTGCAGCACACCGATGAAATGGGACTCTATCGATCAATTTCCTTGTTCTGTCTATGGCCAGTTACTGTTCTATATTATCACATTATCTAGACTAGCTTAACCAGAGTCTTTTTGTCATAGTTCACCTACCTTTCCACTGTGCTGGTCTCCCGGCATAATAACACCTGGTTCCTACCCAAAGATTTGAACCGAACATTAGAACGCTTTGCGAGTTCTAATCCTAATCCAGGCTTCATGCATCACCTTAGATGGGGATGTCACCCCATGGAGAGGCCAAAGACAGCCCCGTATTTTGCACTCCGTTCCTCAAGTCAGTTAGAATTATAAAGTTATTAACTGTAGAGATAGCGAAGATAAGAGTTATAAATGGTTACAGAGGTGAGCCTGGAGAGAATTTAGTGTATTGTGATAAAAGGCTCCTTTACTTGGAGGGCGAAGGAACCCTCATACAAGGGAAGTGCTTGGGGCCCTTGGCTCGAGCCCTCGATGTGCTAGGAGTCCTCCACTAACAGACTTGGATCATCTCCTAACGTACTGTACTAGGGATCTTGATCGCAGTCCCAACCATTATCATAGTGCTTGATTTGAAAGATGAGGAAGGATGATACCACGAAATCTGGGACCAAGTTTAGTTTTCCCTTGTGCCTTGATTCCTTTTGCTGTCTGATTTGGTTTTTGACTCGGCTGTCTTGTTGTTACCCTTTTCGATCAGGTTGGATCGGATTCTTCTGGACCATCTGGCTGGTGACAAAGAAGAGCGTAGGCGTCGCCACACATTCACTGAGCTTGACCGGGTCAGCCATTTCCACGTACTCATCAGCCTGGCAAACTCGCCACCATGTAGCAGAGAAAGAAGAATGAAAAGCTTGCAACTGGAAAAGAAGGATCACTTGTGCTCTAAGTAACCTGTTACCACCCTTCCTCATAAGGCAAGCCAAAAAAATAGAAAGAAAAACAGTACTGTATTGTATATGTTAATGGCTCTTCTTCTCTGCTTCTTCGAGTCTATCCGTAAATTCTCATCTTGCGCACTGGCTTTGTATTAGCTTTGCCCGTTTTCCTCCCTGCAATGGCTTGCTTACTTAGGGTGCTAAGAGATTTCATATATATAGAGAAAGCTTAGGGTGCCGTATTAGTTTGAACATGCCTTGTACTGTTGTACATTGTTTCCTTCTACAAATATCAATGTGTGGGCAGACTTGCAGTTTGCATTGATAACAAAGTTTGTTACACTCTGCTCCATCCTCCCATGTACACAAACCATTCCTTCCTCTGCCTCTGTTTCTGCAGCAGGGTTAGAGATTCTGGAACGGGGGTTCGTCGGGAGGCTACGACGTACACTCCCGACGAGATGAGCTGAGAATGTTCGTGATTGTGCTAGCCATTCAGCTCGTCAGAAGCTTTCCATGACTGCTCTCGTCCAAGCTATCTACTTGGATGGGCAAGGTTTGGAAATGGTACGGTTCTTCAAGGCCAGCAAGGTAGTAGGCCACCAACTTGTCAACATTTGTAGACCACATGTAGGCATTTCCAACTTGTCTGCGGTCGATGCCGACAAAGAGACGAGCGGTGCGGATACACTTCCATTCCTGGCCTAGAAGGGATCTTTCGCCGGCAGAATCTTCCAAGCCTGTGCCGGCAAGAAATTCCAAGAACCCTCTTGACAGTTGCGGAGCTGGGTTAAGGGGAGGAGACAAGCGCTGCACGACGACGTGGATAGTGTTTCGAAATTCGAAAATCGACATGAAGGGACACGTGGAATATTTATATACCGACGGTGGAGAAAGAAGACGGTGCATGAGATCAGCGTCGATGGCAGTGGATTTGGCATCATTATAAAACACAAGATGCTCATTGGTCGGCTGAAAACTGAATTCAAGATGCCGATCGGCCGGTATAGAGACTAGTGATGTAATAATACTATAAGTGGCGAGTTTGTCCTGTGAATTTTGGTACCATTCCATTTCCATCTACCAAACTTGTTTGTTGTCCGTATACCGGAAAACACATCCACCGCCAACTCCCGGCGAGCAGTAGTGATGGACCGCCAACCCACGGTGGCGCCGCACGTGGTCTTCCTCCCGTTCCCGGCGCAGGGCCACGTCAAGCCCATGTTCATGCTGGCGAAGCTCCTCTGCCACGTGGGCGGTTTCCAGGCGACTTTCGTCAACACCGAGCACAACCACGCGCTCCTCCAGCGCACTCTCGCCGCCGGCGACCTCCCCGCCGGATTCCGCTTCCTGTCCCTCCCGGACGCCGTGCCCCACGACCGGGAGCAGCAGCAGTCCAGCATCTCCACGGTCCGCGAGCTGTTCAACTCCATCCGGAACTCCAAGCCGGAGTTCCGCCGGCTGGTGGCGGAACTCTCCCCGACGTGCATCATCGCCGACGGAATCATGTCGCTGGGCTTTGATGTGGCGGTGGAGCTCGGGATTCCGGTCATCGCGTTTCGTACGTTCAGCGCGGTGTGCGCGTGGGTTTACTTCCACCTCCGTGACCTTATCGAGCAGCGGGTGGTCCCCATCCCTGGTAATAAAACAAATAAATTAGTTAAATTAAATTTAGGGTTAATACCCTAGTTTGGCCCGAAGTTCAGCGTTAATGACTGTTCTGGCCTCATTTTTCAAATAAGACATTTATGGCATACTTTTGAAATTATTGGACAAATTTGGCCTATAATTTAATTTGACCGTCAAAATGGACGGTCAACTATTATCTCCGTTAGTAACTCAACATACTGTGCTGACTGGACCTGTACACGTCATTATTATTTTTTACCAAAACAAGTCATTATTATTTAAAATAAAATAAAAAACAAAAGAGAGAGAGAGAGAGAAAAGGGGCACGGACCACTCTTCCCCTTCCTCATCTTCTTTCTCCATCATCCTCCCCAAATACACATAACCCTAAATAATCAGAGACCCGCCACCAGCCCCTCCCCAGGCCAAATCGCATCTAACAAAACCTAGTGCCGCCGTGCTCTTGCCAAACCCGCCGCCGCCGGTTCGAGACAATCCCCAACGTTGACGCCACCCAGGATGCGTCGGTGCTGTCCAAGCTAGCTCGCCTCTGTCGCCATAATCTCTGGTTGTTTCTTCTTCCCTTGGATCACCCCGCCGCCTACTGGTTCGACAACGAGATCGATAGATCTGGGACAGGGAGATCGACAATCCGTCCCCTTCCCTCTCTTCTTTCTCTCCATCGTCGAACCGAACACGCGCCACCACCAGCGCTCCCCATCGCCTCCGTGGAAGAGGAACCGTCACGAGCCCGACGAGGAGAAAAATAAGGACAGATAGAGAGCATCGACTTGTGATCTTGTGGACGGGATCTCGAGTGAGCAGCAACATAAGCGAACGGACAAAAAGAAGGACAGGGAAGATGGAATGGAGGTAGCTAGAGATGGAAATGGTGGCGAGATGGGTAGGGAGGATGGGTGAAGATTTTAGGAAATCCATTGGGTGGGGAGGGTAGTGAATTGGGTCGTGAGTGCAGGGAGTTAGGGTGAAGATTGGATTTTGGTTTTTTTTGTTTTGTTTTGTTTTAAGATTTTGTTTTTGAATTTTTTTAACATAAAAAAATGATGTGGCAGTTATCTCGAATCCACCTCAGCATTTTGATGCTCAGTCACTGACGGAAAAAACAGTTGACCGTCAATTTTGACAGTCAAATTAAATCATAGGCCAAATTTGTCCAATAATTTCAAAAGTAGGCCATAAATGTCTTATTTGAAAAATGGGGTCAGAACGGTCACTAACGCTAAACTTCAGGCCAAACTAGGGTATTAACCCTTAAATTTACAGCATTTCAAATCCACGTGGCGTCTCTTTTTCATATATTCATTTTTTTCGTGATTTAAATTCGTAGCGGATGCTGACATGGACGTGCCGATCACTTCCATTCCCGGGCTAGAAGGAATCCTACGCCGGCGGGACCTCCCCAGCATATGCAGGCACGGAACTCCGCCGTCGATCCTCAATTTCTTCCTCAGGGAAACCGAATCGATGAGGCGGGCTTCCGGTTTGATCCTCAACACGTTTGACGGGCTGGAAGGCCCAATGATCTCCAGGCTCTCCACCATCTTCCCCAAAATCTTCCCCGTAGGCCCATTGCACGGCCTGCTGAGCAACGTGGTGAAAGAAGAAGAGCCTCTAACCGCCTCAAACGGCGGGCTTAAGGAAGAGGACAGGAGCTGCATGACGTGGCTCGACTCCCAGCCGTCCAAATCTGTGATCTTCGTCAGCTTCGGGAGCCTGGTCGCGCTGACGGAGGCCCAGTTTGTCGAGTTCTGGCACGGACTGGTGAACAGCGGGAAGCCGTTTTTATGGGTCGTGAGATCGGACTCTGTGCTGGGGGAAGATGAGGTTCCGAGCTCCGTGGAAGTTCTTTCGGGCTTGAAATCGGGGGCGGCCCATGATGGGAGTAGGTGTTGTGTAGTGGACTGGGCCCCGCAGGTTGAGGTTCTGGCCCATGAAGCGGTCGGTGGGTTTTTGACTCACAGCGGATGGAACTCGACGGTGGAGAGTGTTCTAGCAGGAGTGCCGATGGCTTGTTGGCCGCGGTTGAGTGACCAGCAGGTTAATAGTAGGGCAGTTAGTGATGTGTGGAGGATTGGGCTTGATATGAAGGACAAGTGGGACAGATCGACGGTGGAAAAGACTGTGAGGGAGTTGATGGAGGGGAGGAGGGACGAGATTATGAAATCGACTATTGAAATGGCGGGGATGGCTCGTGGCAGCGTCGAGGAAGGTGGATCTTCGTACCATAATCTGGAAAAGTTGATCGTATACATTCGATCGATGTGTTAGGTTATCTAATTCATTCGTTTCAATTGAACTTCAACTTTTTTTTGTTATCCATAAGAGTTTACCTTTACAATCTTGAATTATGTGGCGGATTTTATCAACTCTGCATGCTTAATCTATCTTTCATTCATTAAAATCATAATATCTCTAGGGTCGACATGCAAACTCTTCAATCTATAGATATTATTGCTGAGAGGGTGACGAGAGTAGTGCAGGTTGCCCTCGAGCCTTGTCGACTTGATGAACTTAGAATGCGTTGGATATTAGTGGATCAAGTAAAATGAGGGAAATTCCCTTCGAGGTTCTTTATTTTTTTTTTTTGTCATAGAAATCCTCGCGGATTAACCAGATAAGCGTGTGGGGTCACAGCAATTACAACCCCTACACGTGAAGGACACGTGAGATGGATCGACGGGTGGAAAAGAGAAGGAGGGAGTTTATGGGAGGGGGGGGGGGGGAGGAGAGACAAGATTATGAAATCGATCGTTGAAAACGCGAGGATAGCTCGAGGCGACGTCGAAGAAAATCGATCTTCGTACTGTAATCTGGACAAGTTGATCACATACATTTGATCAATGTGTTAAGTCGTCAAATTTCTTCCTATAAGTGTATTGAACTTCATTTTTTTAATCACAATACTTAAATCTTTAAAATTTGAATTATGTGTTGAATGTTATCAACTATGCATTACTAGCATCACTTTCTTCTTACTTGCCCCTCTCTCCACATTCTTAATCTATCCTTCAATGAAATTGGAACGTCTTTACAGTCGATATGCGGACTCTTCAATTTGTAGACTTTTGTTGATGAAATGGTGTTGAGAGTTGTGCAGCTTGCCCTCGAGCCTTGACAACTTAATCAACTTACAATGTTTGGATGCTAGAGGATCAAGTAAACTTACATAAATACCATTCGACGTGCTCAAATTGATGGGAGATACTCTTTGTATTTTAAGTACTTTATTATTAGATTCGAGATGGATGCTCATTTATATTGAATTTGCTAAGAAGGATTTTTTATTGCAATTTTAGATATGCTTTATGAAATCTTCGGTTGTTCCTTTGATTTTGAATGATTTATTATTAACAAGAGCATTTTGATAAATTTAGTGATCGATTGATATAGTATTGCAACGGGTTCTAATCTGAACACTACGATTGGATTCGCTGGTCTCTGACTTTTATGGCCCTTTTCTAGATAGTAGCCCAATCTGTTGCCGGCCCATATCCTCAACAACTGTTGACTCGTTCATTTTTCTTTTTTCTTTTTCATTTATCTAGAAAAGACTTTCATATCGTCGTCGTCTCCCGCCGGTCAACTCCATTACCCGCGTCCGCGTGTACCATCACTTCCATTCCATCTCCGACTTCCTCCCTTGCTTGCTCAGTCGTCGTCAAATTCTCTTTCATTCATACACCGCTAACAATGGAAGTCATCGGAACCGCACTTCTCTCCGCCGTTTTCGAGCAGCTCATGGAAAAGCTCGCGTCCCGAAGCTCCCTGAACTTCGTCCGCGAGACCCAAGTCCTCAACAAGCTGAAGAAATGGGAAGGCATGCTTGCCGCCATCCACGCCGTGCTCGACGACGCCGACGAAAAGAAGCTCGAGAACGAGTTCGTCGGGAAATGGGTGAGCAAGCTCCACGATTTGGCCTTCGATGTCGACGACTTGCTCGACGAATTCGCCGCCGAGGCTCAACGCCGCCGGGAACCGGATCAGAAGAAGAAGAAGAAGAGAAGCAAGGTAATAAGGAAGTTCCTCCCTTCAATTTCCGGGTTCCGGTTCAATTCCGAGATGGATTCGAAGATCGAGCAGGTTTCAGGTCGATTGCAGCAGCTAATTGAAGAGAGAAATGTGTTGGGTTTGGGCGAGACTGTAGCAGGAAAGGGGAAGAGCATGAAGAAGAAGAAGAAGCAGCAGCTGCCGCCGCCGACGACTTCACTGGTCAACGAGGCTACGATTTGGGGCCGGGATAAGGATAAAGATGCCGTAATGGAGCTGTTGAGGATGGAAGAAGGAGAAGAAGAAAATAATGGAAGGAAGAGATTCAATGTAGTTTCTATTACTGGGATGGGTGGTATTGGAAAGACTAGTCTAGCACAACTGGTTTACAACGATGAATCATTGTCATCGGAGTTCTCATTCAAAGCTTGGGTATCTCTGGGCGGAGATTTCGACCCAGAAGCGATAACCAGAACGATTCTTGATGGTTCCCCACGAGGTGGCGAGGATCTGAACTTCCTTCAGCTGAAATTGAAGGAGAAGCTGTTGGGGAAGAAGTTTCTGATTGTACTGGATGATGTTTGGACACACAGGTACACAGATTGGACTCTCCTCTGCAACCCTCTCGAATTCGGGGCACTGGGGAGCAGGATCATCGTCACCACTCGTCTTCAAGATGTGGCGAAAATGGTTGGCACGCCTGCAGGTGATCAGGGCTATGCCCTCCGGCAGCTCGAGTATGATGACTGTTTGTCTGTGTTTCTTTACCATGCTCTGGACGCGTCGAACTTTGATGTCCATCCCGGTTTGGAAGAGTATGGGAAAGCGATTGTTCGAAAATGTAGAGGGCTTCCTTTAGCAGCTAAGGTCATCGGAGGGCTTCTACGAGGCGAGCATAATGTCGATGTGTGGCAAGAGGTGTTGAGGAGCTCGTTGTGGGAGTCTTCTGTGGTGAAGACCAACATTCTTCCTGCATTGATGCTTAGCTATGATCATCTTCCTTCCCATTTGAAGTTGTGCTTTGCTTACTGTGCCGTGTTCCCCAAGGGTTATGTGTTTGATGATGAAGAGTTGGTTCTGCTGTGGATGGCTGAGGGCTTCCTTCAACAGCAACCAAAGAACAACAACAACAATAGCAAGCACCCGAAAGAACTGGGGCATGAGTACTTACATGTGCTCGTTTCACGATCGTTCTTCGAACAATCTGGTGCCAGCAGCGCATCACAGTACGTGATGCACGACATGATGAGCGACTTGGCACGATTCGTGAGCTCTGGCATCTGCTCGAACTTGGATGATTCACACTGCGATGAATCCAGAGTTCGGCACCTGGCATTTGCACAACGATACTACGACAGTTGGCTGAGATTTGGGATACTGGAGAAGACCAAGCAATTGCGCACATTTCTCCCTGTTGGCTTGTCACAGCATTCCAATTCTTATTACTTATCAACGAAGGTGGTTCATGACTTTGTTCCCAAGCTGAAACGCTTGAGGGTCTTGTCATTTGCTCGTTACAAAGTGAAGGAGTTGCCTGATACGATTGGTGGCTTAAAGCATCTGCGCATGCTGAATCTGTCCTTCACCGATATCGCAACATTGCCAGAATCGACAGGCAAGCTCTTCAATCTGCAGACTTTGCTACTAAAAGGGTGCCGAGAGTTAAGTACCTTGCCCTTGAGCCTTGGTGACTTGATCAACTTAGAATGTCTGGATGTCAGAGGAGCAAGTAAACTGTCGGAGATACCAATCGAGGTGCTCAATCTGCCAATGCTCAAGTTCCTTCCCGTGTTCATGGTATCTGCAGCAGAAAACGGCATTGCGATATCTAAGTTGTCCAAGTTTAATCCATTGCAAGGTTCGTTCTTAATAGAAGGGCTCCATAATGTGTTGAATGCTAGGTACGCAGAGCTTGTGGGTCTAAAGGCGAAGAAGGCGATTGGAGGGTTGGTGTTCGATTGGTCTGGTGATCCTGATGATTCGTCCCGTGATGAAACCATCGATTTCCAGGTACTTGAGTCACTCGAGCCACATGTCGATGTCTTGGGAGTCAAGATTCACAGCTACGGTGGCTCGAAACTACCAGGATGGATGGGGGACTCATCATTCTCTAACTTGATGACCCTATCATTCGTACATTGTCAGCGGATCACATCCTTGCCTCACTTCGGGCAACTTGCATCACTGAAGAAGCTCGTGGTAGTTGAATGTTCCAACCTGGTTGGATTCCCTACCAATCTTCCATCTCTCAATGAACTATGCATTCGAGGATGCCGAGCAATAATTCTCCAAGCAAGTAATGTGGATGACGGTAATGTTGTATTACCTTCACTTGTTACCTGCAGGATTGAGAGGATTGCAGGCCTTGTAACTTTGGATGAAACATTCCTACAAGACTTGCCCACACTAGAGAATCTGGAGATCAGAGGGTGCCCCAACTTAGAATGTTTGTGGTATGGTACAAGCAATCCGGCTCATCCGATTAGCCTGACAAGCTTAGCGGTATGGGATTGTGCCTCGCTTGTCTCATTGACAGGGTTGGAACATGAGACATTGTTGCCTCGCAGCCTCGAAACTCTGAAGATCAGGGCTTGTCATCACCTGAAGAAGTTGACCTCCCATTTCGACAACCTTACTTATCTCAGCGTCTTGCACATCCTGGACTGCTCGAATTTGACATCCTTTTTCTCAAGTGGTGGTGGTAGGGAACTGCCCGGAGGGCTCCAGGAGCTTGCCATCCAAGGTTGTGGCTCGTTAGAGTCGTTACCTATGGTCCCTCATGGTCACAATGCTCGTCTCGAGAAGTTGACTATCGAGATGCCTGTGTCTCTCAAGCAGCCATGGATCCCGAAAGGGGAGTTCCCAGAGTCGCTTAAGTACATCGAGATAACGAAATGGACCTCGCTGTTACTGCAACGACTGCAGCAGAGCAAGCTCCCACAGCTCACCAGGCTCGTGATGGGAGACAGCCCCGACGTGCAAAGCACTCCAGACTTGTACCAGTGGAACCTGTTGCTGTCCACTCCCAGTGCTGCTTTGACTGAGCTCCACATTTGGGGTTGCGAGAACCTCACCAGTCTTCCTGATCAGGCCATGCTGACGCTCACCTCGCTTCGAAGTCTGTACATATTCGGATGCGGGAATCTGGAGCTTCTTACTCATGGTGGACGAGGCTTACCTTCTAGCCTGGACTTCCTTCTGGTCGACGAGTGCCCCGCTCTGAGACAACCCATCTCAGAGTGGAGGCTCTACACTCTAACTTCACTCCACCAGCTCACGATCATCGGACCAAACCCTGCAACGGACATGGTCAGCTCCCTTCCAGACGACGATGATGGTGGTGGAGGAAGCCGCCTGCTGCTGCTGCCGCCGTCCCTAACACATCTTACAGTGGTGGGGTTCAAGAATCTGAGATCCATATCTTCAGGAGGCATTCACACCCTCACCTCTCTTCAGCAGCTGTCCATTGAGGGCTGCTTTCGCCTCCAGGACTTCCCCAAGAGAGGCTTCCCTCCCACACTTGGGAGCTTGTGGATCTACAAATGTCCTTTGATTGGTAGAAAGTGCTTAAGAGAGAAAGGAGCTTATTGGCCCATCCTCAAAGACATTCCACACCTGAATGTACGTGACTGATCAGTGGAATCATCCATGCCAAAGAAGGTTTGCTTCTTATTGTAACTAGAATTTTAGCCCGCGCTATCTTACATATTCATATACACACATTTCTCCAGCTAAAAACAGTAGTTTTCTGATCTTCTCGGCAATCAGGCCTATCCATATCCATATTCTATTCGGTTGCCTAACTGTCAGCCGATACAGCTAAAGTAACACTGGAAAAAGGGCACATTCTGATGAAACTCAGGATAACTCGAGAGTTCAGCTTCTTGATCAGCTGCTCGAATATGGCAGAGAGGAAAGCAGTTCCGATCGCTTCCATGGCGTTGAAGAAAGGGAGGGAAATGTTCTGCAACCGACGAAAATGCCAATCTGCATTTCAATAGTCCCAAGTCCCAACTTGAACCTGGTCAATGGTCGTTGGTGTTATGGGCCAGTAAAATATTGGGCTGACTAAAACAAGTCCATCATGTACCCATTGGGCCGAATTAAAATAAAGCCTCAAACGAGCCGGGTAAAGAAGCTCCATTTCGGGTTTCATTGTTTCGCTCGGAGTCGAATCAAATTGTTCATTCCCAGAAGTTAATCGTTCTCCTGAGAAGCGAAGCAACAATGGCCGTTTCCACTATCTCCATCCCCACAGTAATTCACCAGCTATTCCTCTCCTGCGCCTTCCCTTCTTCTTCATTCTCATTTCCCGCCTCCACAGCCACAGTCTCCATCTCGAAGCCTCACAGCGCACCGTCTCCCGCCATTTCCCGAGCTTCCTCTTCGCCATCCTCCTCGTCTTCGTCGTCTCGAAGCAAGAGCAAGACGTCGACGGCGAAGAAGAAGAAGAAAGGCAAGAGCGGAGGTGGCGGGCATGACGACTGGAAGGATTTGGGCTTGAGCGAGGTTGAAGTCGTTAAACCTCGCGGCGGAGGCCGGGATTATGACGATGGCGATGATTTTGATGATTACGACGAAGGTGCCTCGACTTCCAATTCGAGGTATAATGCTTCACCGACTACTCCACTGCCGAATCCTCCCGCTGGCTTTTTCGTATCTGAGTCCGGCAAGGTTTCCATGACTTCCGGCAACCGGATTGCTACCATTGTGAGTGCTTCTTAGCTCTCCCTCTATCTCTTTGTCATATCAAATTGTCTCAGTGAGAAGTAGAGATTATTCGTCTCTGTGCTGAACTGAACAAATAGACGCTGTGATATGCAGTGTTTAATGGTCACTTCTGATTTGTGCATTTCAAACGGTTTCATAAGAACAGATTTCCAGTTACTCCTCAATTCAAAGATGGTATCGTTATGCAATCAGTTCACTGATTTCCTGTCTCTTAATGAACTGTTGGCAGGTTGATGCTACGAATAATAATCCATTAGAGTGTGTTATAAGGAGGGTGTTTAGAAGTTCAAGAGGGGAGGATGAATGCATGCTCCTATGCCCGGTTGATACGTAAGTGATTTCGATTTAACTCGAATATGATTTGAAGCTTGCTCTAGTACATCAGTGTCTGATCAAATTGATTACCTGCTGCAGGCCAGTTCAGATTTTGAAGAGCACGAATATTGAGGGGTGGTCTGCGGTATGTTCTGTCGATATTGGAAGCTGATCATTGTATTATTGACTTGAATACCAGTTTATAAGTCCTGTGACTAACATGTGTTGCTGCTTGTTCATCATAGGTCAGTGATGATGAAGTGGAGGCTATACTTCCTGCTGCAGCATATGCTTTGGCAAAGATCCACATGCATCTAGTCCATAGCGGGTATAGCTGTAAACAACTACATGCTTTCTGAGTTTTATGATAAGTATCAGTGTTTTGTGCTGAAATCAAACAAGTACCTGTGCTCGTATCTTATTTTTTTCCAATGCCAGATTCTGTTACACAGCAAGGGGAGGATTTTGCTACTCGGAAGATGACATTTTTGATTTCCGCACAGGCAAGGACCTTCGGCTAGCATTTTGTAAAGCAATAAGTGTCATCTGCACATATTAGAAGGCATTGTTAGGTCATTGTTGGTCCATTTGCACGCATGCAAACTATTGGTTTCAACTCAATTGGGGATCTGTTTGTCTTTCAATATCATAATTAAGAATGATGTGCTCACAGAGTGTTATTGTTTGGATAAAGATTGGTCCGATTTTCTTGGTTCCTAAATGAGGACTTGAAGTGAAAATTCTGGCTCTGGTAATTTTGCAGACGACGGAGAAACTGTCGATGGCTTACCAACAGAGGGTGTTGAAATCACATACTTCCATCTGGTAAATTCACAGCCATCTTACTTTCTTATATTGATATTTTCTGGTGACATCTACATTATAAAAACGAACACTTATTGAGTGGTGCTTTTGAGAGTTTATACTGAGAACCACAGTACAGAACGATGGACTGAAGCATGCACTTGGTTTTCTATTACGTACTTGCCTTTTCGTATTTAATATTGTATTGGTTTTCATTATTCACCTTCTCCTACAGGATGGTGCACATTACATGATATATACTCCATCAGATCCACTTCTTTTTGTCGCCATTAAGGTGCGTTCTACGCCTGCATTCTGCTCTCTTTTCACATTGCAAAAATTATTTGGTGGAGAAACAATGAGTTTTGTTATCCATGAGCTTGATCTGTGCTAGATTGAATTTATTTGTGTTTCTACAGGATCGAGATGGAGTGTTGCAAATAGCTGATGATGTAAGAAACTCCTTTGCTTTACTCTTCTCCTTTAGCCATTTGCCTCTTTACTTTCTTCATTATTGCTTCTCTAGTTGATAACATCATCCACGTCTCGTAGTCTGATCAAATTTATGTTTATGGTCTCTCTCTGAATAGTAAAAGGAGTAGAAAGTGTGGCAAGCATATAGGCTTAATAAAATCATCTATATCCTTGGATTACAATAGTAGGGCAGGCGCCAGGCAGATATAAAATCTCTTTTCTGGTAAGTAATGCAAACTTAGTGTTAGGAAATGGAAGACTGTTTTGGAGTACAATGATTTAATACTGTTGTAACTTTTATAACAGTAGAGGTTAGTCTTTTGATTGAAAGATATAAAAAGATCTGCCCCTGATTGTCTATCAATGGAACAGGATCTTTTGGAGGACCCAGCTATCGTAAGCGCGATTGATGAGGAGACTGAATTTAATGCGCTGGTGGTACGTGAAACAGCTTTTTTTATATGTGCCCAATCGTGGATGCACTAGATAATGGAATTTGCTTTCCTAAATGATTTGGTAAATTCAACTGCAGGAGGAAGAAGCTGCTCTTATGGAATCTTTGATGGGCAAAAGTTGATTACAAAAGTTGCAAACACCATCAACATGTAAGCATGCTACTCTTTTACTGAATTCTCGTCCCGAGTAATTGCGTGAATGCGGCCTGCTTCAAACTTGAAACTGTCTTGGTGGGGTTTCTTAAGGGTAGTGATGAATGATGATAGACCAAGACAGTAAGAATCACAGAAAGCCTAAATTGCATCAATCATTTCCTTCATCTATTGTAAATGATAAAGCTTCTTAGCCTGTAATATTTGACTGATTTGTCCTGACCAATCAGGTCTACAAAGAATATGAAGTATTTGCAATATACTAATTTTCCTTGATTGCATCAAGCTAACAATAATAACTCTATCACTAGTACCTAAAGCATAAGCAACGTATATTAAACCAATAAGGGGAAAAATCATCTGATAGTTGAATATCTTGATTTTGGGTTTAGCAATTGGGTCGTTGATATGGTACTGACTGTAATTTGGAGCGGATCCCCATTGGATTCTTCCAGTATTACCAGTAGATTGTCTGTAGTGTTTAGGAACTCCCTAGGAATATGGTACCTGCATGAATGGAATTCGGCAAGGGTAATCAGAATTACTTTGGAGCTGCTCATGATTGAAGGCCTGGCAATAACCCTAATAGGCTGAAAAAACTGGAGAACTGAAGAAAAGAGGCTTACATTGTCTGAGAAGGATTTCCTTGCTTTGTTTTAATTGTCATCCAATATCGCCCAATGCTCTCTCCATTTACCCATACTTGGCCTTTTCCCATGCTGGTTAGGTTCAGTGCCACTGGCTCATCTCCCTTAGGTGCATCAAATGTTGTCTGTACAATTATGTTTATCACGTCAAATTTAAAGCAAGGTTTTACTTTGTACCAAAGACTTGTTTAAAATAATTCTAAAGGCTGTAAAATCAGAACTAAGGCTCAGTCTTGTTCTTTATTGACAAAATGTGCACATTGTTTTGAGAATGGCTAATATGACAATAGATCATAGATCAAGTACTTCAATGACATATATAACAATGACTATATGATTCAGTTAAACATAATGCCGCTTTTGACGTCGGTAAAGATGAAGACAGTGTTGAGTTAAATTTTTTTGTTTTCGTTTCATATTTGTCATTTTGAAAAGAATGCATCCAAGTCACTTGTAAAGTGAATAGTGGTACCTTATTCTGCTATTAGGCCTATTCTTAGTTATATAGTCTAGGTACTCACTCTAAACCATCTGGGTGATGGGTCATTGTTTGCTGATGAAGAATCAGAGAGTGGATTCCATTTGACTTTATCTGTATTCTCTTGTGTGTATATTCCTAAGCTCTCTCCTAGAAAACCAACCTGCCCAAGTTACCACAATAACATGTTAGTATATTAACAAAATATTTGATGCTCTGTCGAATAACCATTTCTTAGGTGCAAATTTTTACCTGGTATCCCCATTCATAACTAGTGACATTGTATGTATTCTCTTTGCATTGGATTTCTACTTCAGTTAATCCAGCATATCTCTTCTCCATGAAAGGTCCAGAATCCTTCATATATAGAGTTTAACCATGAACATGCCAATTATTCATAGTTCATTAATAATTTAACTTATCAAGTGTTTTTGGAAGGTATGAGAACTCAATAAAAATGAAACAAAGCTACTTACCCATAGTCCCACCATAACACTTAGTATAGAAACATCATTCTTCGATTCACTTAGTGAGATTGGTGCTTCGACCAAGACAGCATTTCTCTGACCGGTTGAATTCCCACGAGCTGATCCTGACCATTAGTAAGATTAGAGATCATTTCCAAAGTGCATAGTTAATCAATAATTGTAGTGATTAGGCTCTTTTACCTGCATATTCTCCGTTGACAAAAGCATAAACAAGGTGTGAGAGGAATTTCACTTGCAGTTTTGGTTCTGTGCAAGAGGTTGCATTTGGTTGAAAGCTGTAAGTTTTCAACAGAACTAGTACGTTAGAAGGGAAAATAAGAGTATGCTGCAGTCTCTAACCATTGATTTATCCCCTTTCAGTAAGGCCTGATCCAGAATCAGACCGAATTGAAACGAAGGGTAGATACAAAATTGGTTCAAAAGCGCATTTGATCTGATTCAGTCTGGTAGTTTGGATTCCTGCCACTGCTTTTTTCATTGTTTTTAAGAGTGTCCATGAGATCAAAACCTTAGGTAGGCTGAAAGAACACCCTTACTAACTCAATGACATGCTGCATGCTTAATTACTAAATCCTAGTATGGTAAGTAGCAAGTTGTTAAGTGGAGATAGTATTTTTACCTCAACGTGTACCATAGATAATCTGTGGAATCCTTGGTTATATTTGTTTGCTCCTCTATCTGATTAAATTGCATTGTAGTGTCTGAGAAAGTAGGTATGGCCTCTCTGTATTCTTCCCATTGATGGTCTGCGCCATTCAGAGTCTTGCTTGTCGTTGCTATTCGGTTGCTGATTGCTGCATTCACCTTGGCTGTGTCGAAGGCTACTTTTTCACAGTCAGGTAGAACACTAATTGACCTAGGTTGCAACTCAAACTTCGCATTCCTGAACTCAACTGTTGCATTGGTTGTGGCGTTGTTGACTAGAAATGCTGCGCAGTTGTTCCCCTCTGCTGTTGAGTCTTCATAAACATAAGCCTGTAAAAGTTTTGTTAGTTATTTGTTCTTAATTAGTGGAACTGAAACTGATAAAAGAGCTAGTTAGAGCTAAAACCCTAAACCTGTTGAAGCTGCCCCAAGGAGATGTTTGTCTGGACTCCATTTAGTAAAGTTGAAGAGCATGATTTAACTGCGGCGTGCATCTCTTTAAGATGGCTCCATTTTGGTTCTCTGATCAAACCTAATAAAAGCATGAAAATTCAAGATTCATTTAGTTCTTGGCTGAAGCTCTAATAGTAGAAGTAGAAACACAAGTGGGTAGGGTTTAGCTTATAGCTCTGTTTGTATTAGCCTCTCACCGTATTCATCAAGAGGAGCTTGATCATAGTACTGTGTCACCATGTATGCTGCTCCACTTCTTCCGAAATTAGTCCCTCCGTGATACTATTTATTTTGTTGTACACACATCAAAGTTAAATTTTCGTTAGTAATTAGTTTAGAAATGACTCTTTAGTTACAGTAAACTAACACTATCCATTGGATTAGCAATTTTTTACCATGTAGTAATTGACAAAGCTTCCATTTTTGGCAATGATGAAGAGCAAGGTGTGGAAGGCGATATCTTGAGCCGATCTGAGGTATGTTTCCTCTCCATACCGCTGTAGGCTTCATGTCGAATCACGAGTATGAAACACTAGATTAGTTTTCTTAATGAGCTGGATATGAACCCTAGTCAAACTGATTGTTGTGTAATTAGATTAGATTAAATTAGATTTAGATTATATCAGATTAGATAGGACTTACAAGGATGTCCAATTCTCTGTCCAAAGTGCTGGCTTGGATGGGGAGTTCGGCCCTGCGAAAGTTTCTCCACATCTCATCCCATTGCATGAGTTTATCTGCATCCAGTCAATCTCGTGAGCCATGATTAGCGTCTTAATCCACGGATCTTACTGGTTAAAAGTGGGGAGTACTAAGTACTAACCACAGGGTCAGGAGCATCAGGTTGCTTGCACATCACCCAGGGTACTCCAGTTTGGAGATCAACGGCCATTTTGGCTGCCCACTCCACATATGCTTTCCCTTCCTCTTGGAATGCTGCTTCTACATTTCCATACTCGTTCTCTACCTGCACGAAAGTTATCATATTATCAATTAGTCAGAAAGTATTGGTTTACTGTCACCTATGGCGCGGTAAACTTTTCATCCAACAGGTGGAACGTCATCCACGACACTCGTGGATGAGGTCTCACACGTCGTCATATTAGAGGATCCTTATTTGCTTCCTTCTGGGAAAAATCTTTTACTGCCATGGGCTTATGTTACCCTACCCTACTCTTCATCAGCTACCTTGTGTTGCTTCCAAGGAAACGATCTAACCTCGTTTTAACTTTTCTTTTCGCAATCGCAATATCGATTTGGACTTACCTGTGATAAGATTATCGGGCCACCTTGTGAAGCGTACAAACTCTCTGCCTTCATCATGTCCACTATTTTCGTAACGAAGTTTTGCATGTATTTCTGTAAGAAAACAGATTGCCATCACATTCAACCACATACAATAACTCAGCTTTAGTCATCTTTTCTCAACTTTCTTTGAACAATAATAATATATGTCAACGATGTATATGTACCTTAAAGGGCTCATTATCAGTTCTGTAGACAATGTCAGGGACGTCATGCAGCCAGAAAGGGAGTCCTCTGCACATTACAGCCATTATTAGCATAAAAATGAACATGGTTGATTTCATCTTAATTAGTTAATTTAGACCTAAAACTAATTAGGGACGAATAGTGAAGAAGGGAAGTGAGAGATAAGTTGTGGTTGGGCTTACCCATAAGTCCATTCGCTCTCAATGAACGGCCCAATACGAAGGCAGGCATAAAGTCCTTGGGCCTGGACCTCCTTTATGAACTTCACCAAGTCATTTCTTCCACTGAAATCATACTGTAATATCGGGGCGGAGTACGAGTTTTCAGCGTACATGATATTCGGATAACGTCAAAGGTGCGTTATTAAGAATGTATTGAAACTGTTTGTAATGCGTTTAGATGATTTTTAACAAATAATAGATGAAATATGATTATGTCAATTGAAAGTGACTTTTAACAGATATGAAATGTTCTTTTTATAATGAAGATTTCGCGCAAAAAGGGGATATAACATACCTGTCCAGGTTTGGGCTCATGCAGGTTCCAGAAAACGTAGGTCTCAATAACGTCGATCCCTCCTTCCTTGGCTTTTCCAATCAAAGATTCCCACATCTTGCAGAGGAAAAGAAAATAATCTGCAATTTCAGCTTTTACACTAATTTATTCATATAATTGACTAATTAAATAATGTTGAGATCTAATACCCGAAATAGTCAATAGAGAAAGGAATCGCACATGCATTATTATTGTGGAAATATTAAAGAGAATAACAAGGACAAATAATAAAGTGATGGTTCCACCACAAGTTGATGAAGGCATTTATCCTAAAGTTTTCAATCACTTAATTATTGGTTTTTAATGGTCAGAATATCTCTGTGAAATTTATTTTCATTCTTAAATATTTCTACCAATAATTAATTATGTTGATGTTAGCACTACGCCTAAGTAATGTGGA